ACCATTGAGGAGAACAGCTGTACTTGGTTTCTGACTCGATTTCTAATGTTAGCTTCTTTTTGTTTGCTGAATAGTGTATTGTGGCAAATATTATATAAAGAGAGCAATTGTCCTCTGGATATTTGATTCTGGTCAAATCAATAAAATTGATTTTATTACTTAAGTTTGAATAATCTATTTTCACAAAAGTAGCACTGTATCAAGATGGAGCTCAGCAACACTGTTATCAGATTACAAAACACACAGAAATAAAGAATCAGCATGTGCTTCTCAACTATGGAGAGTTTTTTCCTAACAGTGCACACTGGGAACTATAGATGATTATTGTATGATTCGCTTAGCATACAAAGCAGTCAAAAAATTAATAAAATGTCTAACCACTGTTGACATAGATACGCTGATTATTGATGTTTGTGTCTGTAAAGTGTTTCAGATGCTTAATGTGTTTTAAAAATGTATAAAACCACAGCTGAGGTCCATTCTCTTAAAAAAAACACTGAATTTAGTTTCTTATATAATAAACCATGAATCAAATATAATTTGCAAAGTCAAACATAATCTCTAATAATTCTTATCAAGAGTAAGAGTCAACAAAGGATCAGTGAACCTGATCATATTTGCTCTCTTTATACTTGTCATAGCAAAGCAAAGAAAAATCAACAATAGAGTTCAAGTCAGAATTCAAGGGGGGGTGAGGGCATTTTCTTTAGTTGTTTTTTTTTTTTTTTTGTAAAATGTAAAGAACTAAAACAGTTATTTCTCAATAAATCTAATATGGACTTTTGTGAACAACTGACAGAAATAAAGTCAAACAGGTTGCTTCTCTACTGTTTCTGCTCATTAACAGCAGGTGTTCATCGTCAGTGCTTAATCATCACTTAATTAACCCTATCTTTGCCTCATTAACTTTAAATCTGCTGTTAAGTAAATTTCACTCAAGTTAGAGAGGGACCAAACATTCTCTGAACTGAGTACATTTTACTCTGAGGATGTTGCTGTGTTGATGCCTGAGAATCAGCGTTGTACACACACACACACACACTTTGGTTACAGATACAAATGCAAGATCTGCTCAAGTGTCTCAGGACTTCTTGATAGTAGAAAACATTACATTATTTTCCTTGTGTGTAAACCATAACATTGATGTAAAGGCTATTATATACATACAAAAATGACAAATATGGTGTGTACAGGTAAGGCATAGTTGTAAGTGCATGTTGGCAAATCCTAATTTGGAAATAAAACGCGTTTTAACATGCGACACCTGCAAATGGCAGATTAAAAACACAGGTTGAGTTTGACTTCAAGGCATAGAATGCTGGATATAAAAGGTCTTCTCATTTCTCTTTAACTGTCAGGCAGGATTGGCTGATTTAATGGAATCAAGTCTAAAGAATAACTAGTTCAATATTGTGCAGTAAGATAAAGAGCTTGCAAAGGTACAACCATTTACCATAAGATTTGCAATATTAGCACTATTTAGATCAGGGGTCACCAACCCTGTTCCTGGAGAGCTACCTTCCTGCACAATTCAGTCCCAACCCTGATCAAACACACCTGAACCAATTAATAGTTCCTAAAGCGGCACTTGATAATTACAAACAGGTGTGTTTGGTCACGGTTGCAACTGAAATGTGCAGGAAGGTAGACCTCCAGGAACAGGGTTGGTGACCTCTGATTTAGATGAAGTCGTTCTTGTGTAGAAACCTGAGCTGTACATTTTCGACAGTGACTACATGTGGGTTGTGTGGCGATGGAGATGAACCTGAATTTCTAAACTCACTTCCAATGATTTTTAAGGTCAAGAACACCAAAAACAATAATCATCAATTCATATTCTTCCTCTGGCCGAGTTCACATACAGCTATGTTTCTATACGTGTACAAAGATTCCATGAAGGATATTCTAAAAAGTTCTGTCTGGAACATTGAAAAAGAATCAGATCATATTTAAAGATAGTTTAACAACAACAACGTCCACTAAAATGAGCCCCCAAACATCAGAAAATGCAAGTAAACGAAAGAGACAGTATATTGATGACTCTAGTCAGTGGAGCCTCTTAAAGGGAGAGGTCCTAGGATAAAATGCCTTTTGCATAGTTCATACTAGCCAGCTGAAGGGCAGTGGTGCCTGTTCTGGTCTGGCTGGATGAACAGCAGTGGTACTGGTGGTTGAGGCCACGATTCGTAGCAGCTTAGTTCAGCTGCTCCAGGTAGGCAGAGAGCAGGGGCTGAGGAGGGAGAAACTCTTCCTGTTTGTTGACCACTTCAGTCTGTCGAGCACCATTACAGTCAGAGCCTGCACAAAAAAAACCCACTTTAAATTACACACTACACTTTAAAACGATTACATTTGGCCTTTTCTACCATAGAAAACGTTGCAAAAATTGACTTAAAAAAGTTAGTGGAGCATTTTTATAGAGAGAATTATAGTCACTAATTAAATCAAACCGTTACCAATATATAACATTTACAGAACACTTAAGTTAGTTGATCAAATGGTTTTCCACAACATTGAAATTAAATTATATTCAAATCCTGTCAAATCTTTTGTTTTGTAATGCCTTAAAAAAATGAACTGGTATTATAGGGAAATTATCACTGTCCAAAGAGTGTGCAAAGCAGCAACATTTAATAAATCAAATTCATTATTTTAAATTACGATTGTGCTCATGATAACTAGTATAACTCACCGGCCACTTTATTAGGTACACCTTTCCAACTGCTTGCTAACTTACATTTTAATCAGCCAATCACATGGCAGCAACTCAATGCATTTAGGCATATTGACATGGAAAGACGATCTGCCGCGGTTCAAACCGAGCATCAGAATGGGGAAGAAAGGTGATTCAAGTGACTTTGAATGTGGCATGGTTGTTGGTGCCAGACAGGTATTGAGAATTTCAGAAACTGCTGATCTACTGAAATTTTCACGCACAACTATCTCTAGGGTTTACAGAGAATGGTCTGAAAAAGAGAAAATATCCAGTGAGCGGCAGTTCTGTGGGCGCAAATGCCTTGTTGATGCCAGAGGTCAGAGGAGAATGGCCAGACTGGTTCCAGCTGATAAAAAAGCAACAGTAACTCAAATAAGCACTCGTTACAACCGAGGTCTGCAGAAGAGCATCTCTGAACACACAACACGTCCAACTGGATGGGCTACAGCAGCAGAAGACCACACCGAGTGCCACTCCTGTCAGCTAAGAACAGGAAACTGAGGCTACAATTCACACAGGCTCACCAAAACTGGACAATAGAAGATTGGAGAAACGTTGCCTGGTCTGATGAGTCTCAATTCTCTATGGGAATCATAAGAGCATCATAGGTTTGTCAACTTTGGCTTTTACATTTTGGCTTGATTTTTGTGATGTATCATGTTGTTCACCTTGAGTTTTATTTGAGAGCTTTATTTAGCAAAACCATGGAACTCATTTGGGTTACCTAACTTTTTCTGATGGTTTTATTTAGTCCTTAGGAAATTACAATTTGCATCAGACTCATTGAAAAAAAGAAAAAAAAAGAAATGATCAATATCTGAAGATTACTCACTTGCAGAGGTCAGATCCATGTACTGGCAAATAGCATGAAGCAACAGTCGCTCATAACTAAAGAAACAGACACATCTGAATCAAAATATAGCATTCACCAAAATGACTAAGAATATCTCAAACATGGTCTTGAAATATTAATAAATATACAGTGCTGCTCATCATATAAAAGTACACCCCTCACTAATCTATCTTTTACATTAATATGTTTAATAGGAAGCTATACAATATTATATTTGTGCATATACAGTAGATTAGTCAGTACTGAAGCCAAATCTGGAGCTTATCTAACAAAATAACTTACGATATTGGTCTAAAAACTAGCACACACACATTTATATGTTATAGAAAAATATTAAGTACAAATTAAAACAAAAGAGGAAAAATCAAGAAGCAAAAAAATGTGATCAATTAAGTTGAAATGTTGTAGGTTGTAATTTATTTTTGCAATATTTTGCTTGAATTTAATTTTATTACCTTTCAATTTCTAAATATGTTTGGTGACTGAAATATTATTTTAATAAATATGTCTGTTTAGCAAATATTTTAGTGCATTTAAACAAAACAGATTTGCATTGGGGTGTTTTCAATTATGGTGAGCACTGTGTTAGTAGAGGTCTGAATTAGTCGGTGGACGCAAGACAGGGGTGTCATACTCAATTCCTGGAGGGCCGCAGCTCTGCAGTTTAGTTCCAACCCTGCTCCAACACACTTACCTGTAGGTTTCAAACAAGCCTGAAGGACTCAATTAGTTTGATCAGGTGTGTTTAATTAGGGTTGGAACTAAGCTGTGCAGGGCTGCGACCCTCCAGAAATTGAGTTTGGCATCCCTGACGTAAGAGATGCATTAATTGATAGCTTGTGCACCTGCTGCTGAGTCTGGTTGTGTAAATCGAGTGAGGATGTGCCATGAAGAATCCCAGCAGATTGGACTCTAGACCCTCCAACACTCCCTTAAACAGAGCAAGTGGATGATATAAAGAATGATATACAGAAATGATCAGGAAAATGCTTGATCAAAGGTCGAAAGCTAAAGATCAAGAAAATGACAGAAAGACTCACTATGGGGATCTGTCTGCGTTTGAGTGTCACGCGCAGCCTCCGATCGATCCTCTGGAAACATTCCTGAGCGCTGAAGGCAGGATTTACTGGAAAAAGATCACAACAAATATGTCAACAAATAATATGATCATCACTGAAACAATAAAGACGCTGCAAATTTTGGATGGCCCAAGCTTGAGGAATTAAAGGTTACATCAAATCACATTTCACGTTTCCTCCATAGAGAACTACGAAGTGGCCACCCTTATCAAAAATTTGTATCACCTTTGTCTTCACAAAAATCAGGCAGGCAGTCATAGCCAGAATTGTCATTATTCGAAAATCATACATGATGGTAATAGTTTTACTAAGGTGTTTACATGTCTGTACTGCATTTCAATAATGCAACTTAAATCAGCAAACTCGACATGTCCTAATTCCATTTCTGTTTAGTTTAATTATTTATGACCTTACATTAAATCAATCAAAAATCAGTTTACATGGTAGACTTTTAATCAGAGAACTGTCTTAATCATATTAAAATCAGATTACTGGTGTCCATGTAAACGTACTCATGTCAGGAAGTGTGGAAACTGAAATCGTTATTGGACATCAAAATAACATTGTTCTTAGATGCTGGCTGGACACTGAATTTTGGTCACCTGACGTCACAACCTAAATCTAACCTAATATAAACGTCTTGTGACGTTGTGTGCCTGCTGGGCAATAACTAAATGCACTACAGAATGTTACGTTTACACACATCTACAAATTACTTGTAAATGAATCAGTTTTTTATGGCGTAATACTACTCTTGGGTACTTTTTAAAGAGATACTTTTTACTCATACTTTGAGTATTATTTACAACAGATACTTTTACTCGCACTAACTTTTTAGGCAAGTAATGGTACTTTTACTAAAGCATGATTTTCAGTAGTCTTTCCACCACTGCATAATAAAAATTTTACTCTAATTCAGCAATCGTAACTGGTTTTGTGCCATATTTAGCAGCATTACTTATGGGGTTATCGTTTTCTATTGGCAGTCAGAGCTTTGCACGCTGCTTATGTGCTCTGGGCACACATCTTTTACAAAAACTCAGCTGCTACTTTGCAGTTTTGCACCTCACAAGGATGCCATTTAAAGGGAGAGCAATATATCGAACTACAAAAACAACACTTGAATAAAAAAAAATAAGAGTTTATAAATCTTAATCTTGATTCTTCTGTCATTTTTTGGGATATTCTGGGACACGAAGATAGATCTACCAGTCGATCACAGTCAACATGTTGGCGACCACTGCTCTACCGTGTAAAAATAACAAACAAACAGTTTAGATGGGTAAAGAAGACCAGGGAGAGCATGTGAAGAACAAAAGACTCTCAGTGAATGTATCAGGCCTATCAGAGCTTAGGTTTTGTGTGTGGAATGAATTTGTGCTGTTAAATGTTGTCTGACCCTCTCTTTGGTCTTTATGGCTTTTGTTAGAGTGGGTCCTCTGAGCCTCCTCCTCTAGGAGTGCCAAAAGTCGCTCTTGCTCCTCTCCAGAACGATTCATAAAATCACTCCAGTACTGAGAGACATGACAAAGTGAGAGAGAGGTATAAGAGTGAAGAAATGAAAACATCCTTAAACATATAGCAGTCACAGACAGCTGATTTACCTCCATGTAGTTTCCATTGGTGCAGGCTTCAGTGAAGATGCTGGGTGAGGCCGTTTCATGGCCTTCACCATCCTCTTTAGAGCACTCATCTCGTTCCAAAAGATTGTCCAGAAAACGAGCTACGCACAATAACAGTTGTTAAAATAATGTTTCTAAAATGTTCCAAAATCACAACTAAAGCAATTACCCAATAATAAACATTTATTCTTCAATACAGACTCAAACTACTGTTTTCTTTAATTTACCACATTTGGCCGATGCATTTGCATTCAAGGTTCATGTATTTCCTAGGAATTCACAACCTTGAAACTCAGGCCCGGATTGGCTAATCGGGAGCACCGGGAGAATTCCTGGTGGGCCGGTCTGTTTTTTGGCCGCGAGGACCAACGTCCCTAGCTGCTTGCACTCTCAGCAGTCGCACTTTTTCATTTATTTATGTATTTGACCATAGCCTCACTGTTTTTATTCATTATTTTGCTGCAGCTCCGCTCTTTTTATTTATTTTCGTGCAGCCCCGTGAGCAAAATGCAGCCTACAGGGTAATGATGATGGAAATATCATCATTCGACCCCAAACAGCGGCACCTTAGTGAATATAAGAATTTGAATAATTAATAATAATGAATATCACACCTGCTCAATGAAAATCAGACGATTCACTACATTCATTCTGATGTAACTTGATCAGAAATCTGAAATTTTTTCTCCCACCACAACAGCGCCATTGGTCTAGTGGTTAGCATGTTGCTTTAAGACGCTGCCGACCCGTGTTCGCATCTCACCTAAAACATCATTATTTAATTTTTTTCATTTTTATTGTTACGACATATAATACTGTGAGGGCTGTTGAACATTTAAAGTTCTAAAGCAGCTGTTTTCTTGAAAAAGACGTGGTAGTGTCATTAGAAACTGAAATGGAAATGACCTTATTTTAATATAGTCAGTCGTGGACTGATGTGGGCCGGTCTGAGGCTTGAAACTCCAGGGCTGAAACTCCAGGGCTGAAACGGAGTCCCACTCCGGCCCTGTTGGAACTGCTAGTGCCAAGATCTGCTGAGGGCTGAATAAACGACGGCAGTATTTTGTTCTCAGAACTACAAGTACAAAGTTACAGTCATAAATCTCTTCATATACAGTATATTTTAAAGACACTGGTACATTTTTAGTAAAATTGAAGAACAAATTGGTGTGACATCCTTTTGAATGTTTTGGAGACTGAAACAGCAAGCCAAAGCACTTGTTCAAATGTTGCTTCAGCTGGTAAATACCTTTAGACTACTACTGGTATGTGACAATTATATAACAGGTATATGTGTGCCAAAGCCTGCCTTTACTGACGTGTAAGTGCATTATAGTGTGCTGCTTTTAAAGCGACCAGCTGATTTAAAGGGATAGCTCACCAAACATGAAAAATGCCATCATTTACTGACCTCCCTCCACTTGTTTAAAACCGGTTTGAATTTAGTTCTTCTGTTCAACACAAAATATATAAGATATTTTGAAGAGTGTTGAAGACTGGTAACCACAAACTTCCCTAGTATTTGTTTTTCTTAATTTGGATGTCAACAGCCACCGGTTTGCTACACAACTACAGAGCTTGTGAAATCGTAAATTACACAAAAAATAGCTCACTCTTATCTGATGATGCAGTGTTACGGCTGCTTTAATTAATTAAACTGAATGTTTATTTAGTTATTTAGAGAAAAGATCACAGTAACATAGATACTTCAAAATGTTAATTAACATGTAATGCAAACTCCTTTTTAAAAAATTAATAAAGAACAAAAAGAAAACTGTAAACATTTTGGAGTCTTTGTTGTGATTATGCATTTTATTGAAGGCTCTGAAATTTCGAAAAAAAATTCCTGTGTAGGCCTGTCACGATAAGGAATTTGTGTTGTGTAATACTGTATATTGTCACAGAAACTGTTGCGATAAGTGATATTATCGTCATTTTGGGATAATTTATGCCACTGATTACATATTGATTATATAACAGCACAATAATGCAAATAGCCATGAACACTTTAAAATACGTATTATTTTCAGGGTTATTTAGATTCTATAGTTTGATGTTAAAAAGGTAAATGTCTTATTATGTATACTGTTAAAAATCCAAATATAACTTTGACTACGGTGAGGTAGAATTTAAATGTCATTGCAGGGCTAAACATTAAGGACTGCCCGATGGCCCGGGGCCAATTTGAGAGACGCTTGGGACAGTAAACAAGATCATTACTGGCCCGATTGAGGCCACCTTTTGTTAAATAATTTCTAACTGAAATAAAATGCCTTCACATTTTCCATACTGCTTTTTCTGTTTTGTTAACACATAATTTTGCTCATTATACGTATATTAACATTTTAAAAATACTATTTGGATAATTTTTAACATTTAAATTATTATAGACATTATTTTTGACACATTTTTTAAAATTCATTTTCTCTTGTCGGCTTAGTCCCTTTATTAATCCGGGGTCGCCACAGCGGAATGAACCGCCAACTTATCCAGCACATGTTTTTACACAGTGGATGCCCTTTCAGCCACAACCCATCTCTGGGAAACACATACACACATTCTCACACACACACTCATATACTACGGACAATTTAGCCTACCCAATTCACCTGTACAGCATGTCTTTGGACTGTGGGGTAAACCGGAGCACCCGGAGGAAACCCACGCGAAGGCAGGGAGAACATGCAAACTCCACACAGATACGCCAACTGAGCCGAGGATCGAACCAGCGACCTTCTTGCTGTGAGGCGAACGTGCTACCCACTGCGCCGCCCTATTTATTTATTTTTTGTATATATTTATTTTTATTTTTTTAAATAAAAAATAATACAATTTAATAGCTTTTTATTATATTTATATTTTTTTAAAATATGTGGCTAAAATAGCTATTAGGTTTTATTGTTACTTTGGTGGGGCCAGTGGAAATTTTGGCAGGGCAAGTAAAAATCTGAACCATTGGCCCGATCGGATTAGTAGAACAAATCCGTAGCGTTGAACCCTGCATTGTAAAATGGATTTCACGTTATTTGTGAATTTGTAAATATATATTGCAATGGCAGAAATGATTGAGGTCATCAAGTATTAGACGACATGTCGATATACTGATTATTATGACAGGCCTACTAATGTGTTCAATAGGTTGTATATGAAAATGTAATAAAGTGAGCAAATGATCACATAATTTTTATTTGGGTAAACACATGCTGTGGAGTAATTAATAAATAAAATGAACATGAATGACATAGTGAAGTCCCCAAAAACGAAGAACAAGACTCACTGTTTTCTTGTCGTCTTTGACTCTTCTTGCCCTTGGCTCTGGGAATAAGGTCCGAGTTACGAATAGCCTGATTAATAAAGAACTGCTTTTTTTTGGCCGGAGAAACACGTTTAGCGGGGGAGCTGGGTAGAGATGAGCATCGTGGCTCATTTAGGCTGCAAAAAATATATATATATATATAACAAAAATCTCTTCAAAATCATTTAATAAAATTGCTTACTCAAACAGTTTATGCATTAATCACTAATCCAATTAGGTAAGTTAAAAAAATATGTGGTTAATCATATATTGGTCTCAAATACAAACATACATGCATATGTGTAAACCAGGTTTGTGTGGATTCATTAATTGTGTCAGTGGACTTAAATGTCTTTCAGTGTTGTAGTGAAACTACAGATGCTTCTGTGAAGACCCACTGGAGTGCTTTTATTTATAGCTCTAGCCACAGGCCAGATGCTTCATGGAAATAGGTCACAGCT